AGCAGGAAAAGGTTAAGATAAGACTTTCTTGTTGTTTGAGTAGTTGACTTCATGTTTAGTTTGGACAAACAGAAAGGAAGAATGCGGGAGGGGGGCATGCCTTCTTTTTATCCTCCTACAACATTTTTACGTTGGAAACACACCAGCCGACTGCCCTCTAAATTTTCTGGTCTCCAGACTTAGCACTGTTGATGTTTCCCCGAATACATGTCTTTCCTCTCCTGACCCATGCTCAGTTTCACTAATTTGACTTGAAAAGTTTCCCCCTAGGGGCCTTTCTTCTGTGTTTTCCTTTGAGGGCTGGAGAGACAGAAGGCATCTAGGACTATGCAATGGGAATGTAAATTACTACTCTGCGAGGCAGGATTTGGTTAATAAAGATTGCTTGGAGTCAATGAGTTATTAGAGCTGACTGAGTGCACTAATTATTAGTGAGTTGGCACAAGTAAAAAGTAACAAAGGATACAGGTGTATATATATAAAGGACCTTTCTAATTTTAGTAACTGTTTACCGAAAATATTTCCTTCTTGCAGAATATTCTGCACTTCTCATTTTACTGTAGCTTTGGAAGTATTCCTGAAAATCTGTATGTCTAGCATTGCTGTATATATTTAGCATTTTTTTTACCATTCCAAGATTCGTGCATTAAAACTGTGTGGTAAAGTGAATACAGCCTTTCTTTTTCTCAACAGGACGCATTCACCCCCCTCTGTGATGTGAAGAATGAGCATCTGGTCATTATATATGATACTTGAGTAATTGCTGAAAGTTATAACAATACCAGAATAAATTAATTTTGAGATTATTGCCACTGTATGGCATGTGCAGCACAGAGATGTAGCCCAGCGGTCAGGGCTGGCCAGTGCTGGCAGGTAGTCGAGGCAAACGCAGGGAAGCGGATGAAAACTCTTCACTTCAGTTTACTCTAGGTGAATTTCTGGCAGCGATCTGTGTCAGTTGGCTGTATTCACCTCTTGGCTCAAAGGGAACAGAGTATTCTTTCAGCTAATATTCTACCTTGCACTTAATTTATTTAGCCTAAAAACAGCTGCACGGAAGAGTAGCTTGATGGAGTCTAGCTAGGAGAGCAGCTAATAAAATGAGGACCTAAATTGCTAATAGATCTTTCTCCTTTGGAATCTATGTGCTGTTTATAACAAATGCACATCCCAATTATGCAGCTCACGTGGATCATGAAAAATAAGTACACATATATTTTATGAATACATTAATTCTGTTCTTTCCCTAAAACTTTTGCTTTTTTTTTTTTCCTTTTATATTAATTGTGTGACAAAGATCCAGAGCTGGATAAAGAGTTGTTTAGCAATGAGGTATGTAAATACAAGTATGCAAGCATTAAGATACTTGCTACTTAAGATTTGTGATCTTTGGTTTCCTACACCGGCAGTTCTGTGGAGGCAAAATGCATAATGGAATTTATCCCTGAGGACGAGTTCTCTATCCAGTTACTTTGCAAAACGATAATGAATTAAAATCTTGATTATTTTAAATGTCATACCTTGCTTGGTCCACCTGTAAATCCTTTATTTGGTGCACTGCTAAATGGAGAATGCTTTCCTCGGTTTTACTGGGTTTGAGACTTTTCAAAGGTACTTTGAGCTGAGTGTAGCATGACAGAAGTTTGCACATCACAGTTTTTCAACTGAAAACAAGATCATTTGTTCTTAGAAGGCCCAAAATACAAAGTCATGAAAACCTGAAAACCAGTCCACTATCTGATTAATTCAGAGTTCATTAATGTTTCATGAATACTGTATTACTACTCAAAGGCTGATGTAAGATTAATTTGTAGTTTCTGCTATCAGAAAATCAGATATAATGGTAATAATATTTACACTTTGTTTGGAGCTTTCATCTTGAAATCACTTGGCAAGAAGAGATTCTGTAAGGACAAATCCTTAACTGATGTAAAAAGACACCACTCAGTTGGCTTCACTGGCCCAATGCCAGTTTATGTTGCTTGACAAGTTTCTTTAAAGTTTTCTGTTGCTTTAAAACAGATGGCACAAGATTCAAGGTGCTCATCTTTACATTTCTATGTAAAATGTACATTTCTATGCCTCTTGAGTAAAATTAAGTTGTCCTCTATTCCAAAGATAATGTTGCATATAATGAGTCGAGTTCATAAAGAAAAGATAATTCTGGAGATTACAGACCCTGCTGGATATAGACCAGTGTGTGCTCTAACATCACAGACTCCTCAGAGGGAAACATAGCAAACAATTGCAAGGCCTCACAGTCTGTAATAAAAGCCCAAAGAAAACTTAATTCCTTAAAAAGATATTTCTATGAATAGTATAGGCTGATACTCAGCATATCCCTTCATGTAGGCTCCTACTTTTTGAAAGGTTGCATAGATTCATTTTAGCCTTTTCTGACAGTAAAATGAAATCTTGAGAAAAAGAATCTTTTCTGGTAAGCAGATGTAGATGTGCTGAAACTACTGAGCAGAACCCGATTTTGCACCACAAGCCTTGTCAAGTCATTTTGAAAAAGTTTTCTGTTTTATAGATTGTCTCTCTACACTAACCCTGAAGGAAAAGATTTAGCTGAATGTATAAAACTTGGAGAAACCAGTCTGCCAAGAGCCTTGCATTCTTCCAGGATTGTTCATTTAGCAGCTTTCTGCATTATGTGCTTTACATTATGTTAATGCTGTTTCTGCAAGGTATGCAATAGGACAGTGAATAAGATCCTGAAATTATATCCTCATTTATTTTTTTTCCAAGATCTGGTAGAGTTAGATTTGAATTAGGATACAGATTTAATCTAGCAGTTAGTTAGCAATTAGTTAGGCTTTTTGGAAATTTGGGAAAGTTAATCTGTTGGGACTCATCTTTTCCTTTAATTTTTCTCTTTTGGAGATGAGGGGCCCACATAGCTCTAGTTATGAAAAGACAGAATCTTTTTTACAGTTGTCTCCATTGATGTATATTGAAAAATAGAGCTGAGAGTTTTTATCCAAAAGGACTCCAAGGAAGATTGTGCTTGCCAGGGCATGTACTGGCGTGGGTTTTAGAGCATTGACAGCCCCTGGAAATAGGGATGTTGGGCTAACATCTGCTTTGTGGCCACTGCTGGCTAAATTTAGCCTTGAGCAACATAGTATGCAAAATTGCCTGAGGAGTGGGGAGAAGGGTTTGCTTATAAATTTATTTTAGGATAATGCCTGTGGTGCTGTTGAATCTGCATTCAGGGAAGCAAGGTTGTTAGGAGAAAGGCTAAAATAAAGCAGAATAAATGATGTTACCTTGGTATTTCTGCAAAGGGAGATGTTCTTTGGTACAAGTTTATTTGGCTGCTCTTTACAGTCAGGACTGAAATGCCTGTAAAATGACACTTTCTAATCTACGGCTGCTTGGGAATTGCTAACTTGCTTTGGCTTGCCCTTTTTACCCTTGCAGCTCAATAAGGAAATTAGTTCTGGGAAAGCTACCCAGTCAGATTACAATGTAGAAATCATTAGCTCAATGCCACACAGCTCGGGTTTATCAGGTGGCCAGCTGGTAGGCAGTGAACAGTGATGGGAAGCAGCAGGAAACTTCCTTCAGCACTGTTCAGTCCTGGAGAACTCATAAAAGAAATCTTAAGGAAGCACTCCAAGGGTGTTGGAAAATCAGTTTACATTATATACAATTGCTGCTTCAGATCCCTTGCAGAGGCTCTGTGATGTGAGGTCTCCCAAACCTCTACCTGATGATTTTTCTTCAAATGTCTAGATCTTCAGGTGCTGGGGACACCTACATTCCCTGCCTCCCTCTTCATCCCCTTGCTTGGGAAAGCAAGCCAGGAGAAAATACCTCCTACTGCCTGGTTGTCCTGTGACTTCTTAGTAGCATTTATACAAAATCCTTTGTATAAATCGTATATTTAACCTGCATCATTTCAGGGGCTGACAAATTTTCCTGATGTTGCCTGTATTCACTATCCTGTGAATTTACTTATGAAGTAAGTTTAGGTACTTAGGGACTGTGCATAGTCCTCTCCAGAGGATCCAGGAGCAAAAGAAGAAAACAGTTTTCTGTGCAGGCTGGCTGCACACACTTCAGTGTTTGCAGAACACTGGATGCTTCATGGATGCCTGTTTTGGATTCTTGACTTGAAATATCTAAATTTCAGCTCTTAGTGAACTGTAGATATGTGGGAAAAATCTGTCCTTAGATGAGTATCAAACGTGACTGCTGTACTTCTGGAAAAAATTGACTTTATGATGTGGTGATAAAATGGAGTAGGATGCATGCACACTTTCTGACAGAATATTTCTCTTTAGTTGGCTCATTCCCCTTAATTCCAAAACATTTTTATTCCAACTATATTTAACCTTTGTAATCCTGTGAGTATTACTTACTTTTATTTCTGCAGCAGTGGCTACAGTTATAGCTTGTGACGAAGGGTAACTCATTGTTACTGGTTGAAACTGGATTTAAAACAAGCTACATCAGCTGCAGACTATAATGGGTCTTGAAAAATCTCCATGTAATCAAAAGTGGAACATTTGTTGTTCAGTCGACTGTGTAATAAGCATGGAAGCATTTTAGTTGATGATGGCAAACAGAGAGGGAAAATAAATAAAGAGAAGAGGTATAAAGAGGCTTTGAGGAAAACTTTCTGCCATGGCAATGGAAAAAAAATGGTGTTTGAGTCTTGCATCTTTGTGCATTTGAACAGGATGACTAACTTCAAAGGAACTTCTAGGTGCATGGCAATTCCTTCTTCAGTTCTCTTTTATGTGATGCAGAAAATACACACACAAATAAGTGGCTTTTACTTGCCTCAGCTTACGGGTATTTAAAAGATGACACCCCAAATTCTCTTCGTGCAAAACCCAGTTAATTAATGAGATCCAGGTGGTGTGTAGGGATTTACAGTTGTTTGACTCAGTCTACCTGAATTCCATTCTGTTCACTTTAAAAACATATATTTTAATGTTTCCTTGATTGAAGCTTGTTGGTATCACATAAGTTTTTCTTCCCTGTGTGAAAATTGGATTATAATTCTTGGTTTTCACTTAACTTTGATCAAATTCTGAGTCTGTGCTGCAAGCCCATAAAAATTATATTTCTAAGACTGTAATGCTGTGACTAAACAGTAAGCTGGCTTCCCTTTATGTCTGCTTTGTGTTGCTGAAATCAGTAGATAAAATCCTTGGTTTTGGTAAATTTTCATATTTATTGAAACCACTGGAAGTATATCTGCTCAATGGATACAGTTGGAGTGCCTGAAACAAAATCAGCCCAGATGTATATAAAGCTGTCAGTTATAGCTGAATTTTAATCAAAACTGAGCCATAGGTATCACCATAAGTATTCCTGAGAAAGATATCACCAAAACTTTTTCCTTCTCATGTTTGCAAGTCTCCTATGCAAAACTCTGTTCACATAAAGATTTTTTTTCAGCGTAGCTTCCTGAACTGCACACACAATTGCAATCACTCTTTATGTTTTTCTTCCTCCTTTGGCTTTTAGACTGCAAATACTGTTCTGGTTCTGGCTTCCATCTGCATTGTAAAAAAAGAAATAAATGTGTATTTATAAACAGTTGAAAGAAATGATTATGGCCAAAACTGGAGCTGAAACCCATGTTAATCCTGCACATGCAGGCAGAAATTATTATAATTTCTGCCAAGCAGGCAGTGTATTCAAGTGAGAATGCAGACACTGGAGATGGCTGGATAATATGGCATTTTTCTTTTGTCTAAATATGGCTTGATATTGCATGCATATAAAACAAACTCAAATAAGGAGTCTTAAATTTGCAAAAATGGCCAATTTTAAATAGTTATTAGTTAAGGAAGAAGACCGCTTTGGAATAAGGGCACTTAAGTGTTGGTGCCTGATGTGGTGCCTAGTTAGTGGCCAGTGCAGGTTACCTAGCTGCCATGAGAGGCTCACTGCAAAGGTGGTATGAAACTAATTACTTTCCTGCTTACTCACAGAAGCACTGAGTGTGCTGTTGTGGGGGTGGACTTTGGCCCCACAACTGTAAGAAAATTTTCACTCTATCAATATAGCTGAGAAATTCCAAATCGTAAAACAATCACTGTTTCTAAATAAGGTTATCACACTTATATTTGTTACGTACATCTTATTTGTCTCTGTGCTTTTTCAGCAAACACTGTATATAGCCCTCTGCTTCAGTAACTTGAAATGTAACAATGAAAATGGAATGCACGGAAAGAAATTCTTAATATAGGGTGTAAAAAGCTTATCAGAAAAGCTATTACTGAGAGGATTAAACTCCCAGCTAAAATGTGAAACAAAGGGTTATTTGGACTGCAGCTGTTCTGGCAAAAGAAAATCACGTCTTTGAAGACCTCTGTGGTCCAAAAAAAAAAAAAACTAAATAGCACTTTTTCCATGAAAAGAAAGCCATATCTGACTCATCCTGAAATCTACAGTCTATGCATATTTCAGCTATTAAGTTATCACAGAAAAATGAGCTGAATATATTTGATTTTTCTTTAGTCACATAAACAAGTTTTGTTGTAATGTTAGTAATCTTGACAAAAAGGATACATATCTTTGTTAGTATCGTAAAAGATTAGACTGAGTTTTTGCCAAAGGTCTGTGCAAGTCATCTTGCCAGATTTTACCCTTTTAAAAACTATGTTATTTTTAGTACCAGATTGACCTCCGATGGTCTTTTAACCTTTCATTCTGCTGCATAAAATTTTCTTTTTTTTTTTTTCTTCAGGTCTTTCAAGTTGCATATGTCATCATCAAAGCTGCTAATGCTCCACGACCTGGAAACTGGATTTTGGAACGCTCCATCGATGGCACAGAGTTCAGACCTTGGCAATACTATGCAATTAGTGACACAGAATGTTTAACTCGCTATAACATTACCCCAAGAATTGGGCCTCCTACGTACAAGAGAGATGACGAGGTGATCTGCACCTCTTACTATTCCAGACTAGTTCCCCTGGAGCATGGAGAGGTACGTTTACTTTAAGGCTGGCAGTCTGTGGGTATGAGCATGGACTCATTGCAACTTTAACACACATTTGGATTGCAGTTATCCTGTTCATCACCTTCAGCATTTAATGATAGTACCTTTATATCATATACTAGGATAACAAATTTCTAAATGGCGGGGTAAAACATTTCTTTGACTCTACATATTCCTGTTACTAAACTCTTTGTTCTCTCTCTCTACCCATAGTTTGATGGTGGCTATTAACTGTGAATTATTAGTTAACTCTACCCTGAAAGATTGCAATAGAGACTCTATGTTCTGCCAGGTTTTCATGTAATAAAGTAAACCCCTGTGTTGGGGACACCTGGTTGTGTGAGATAGAGCAGCAAACACTGTTGAAGTGCTCTGCACAGCTGGAGCTCCTAAACAAGCCTTGGCATTGTGTCAGGGATGCAGCATAATTAAAAGAGCTATGGGTTGTGGAGCCTCACTGCTGATTGTTCCTTCTTCTAACAAACTCTATTCATTCACTTGTCTAATTTATTTCGTAGAGGCAGCCACATAATGAAAAATACATTAAAACCAGTGATTATTCTACTGCGAATGCTCTTCTTATGTGGTAATAAAATGTGGTGTTATCCCATATAGAATGCTAGCAACTCTTAATTTAATAGAAGCCAATATGTTTTTGCTTATTGATTTAAAAAGAAGATTGGAGCATATGTAGATAACAGCTGAAGCGTGACAAACTTTTTTTTTTCACATGAACTCCAAGTTATGTTTCAGCAAGAGAAAATGAATGAAATTCAGATGACATCAAGTCCTATTTATTTTAATCACATATTTGTTGCAGTGATGCTAAGCATATGCCCTACAGATCAGATGGAACAGATAAAGAAACTTAACCTGGCTCTCACCATGATTAACCAGAAAGCCCTTAAGTTAACTGTATGCAAACAGTGCCTCCTGTAACGAATGCCTGACAGGCAGTTCACCCGGAATGCCAGAGATCTGGATTAGTGATATTTTGTGCTCATTTATTTTTCCTGATGTGCACTGAAATGAGTGATTCAAGCAGCACTACCTGGAACATTGTTTCATCTGAGTGTAATAAAACATGATTAAATTGCTCTGCACCTCACAAGAGTCATTATTCTTAAAAGTCTGGCCTCTTCTTCATAGCTGTAATGGCAGCCTAAAATATTCCCAGTACAGTCTTGCCTTTTTTGAAAATATATCTCCATATGTGTACCCAGCATTCGTTTGCATCCCCATGTTCTGCAACCAGCTTGGGCCTGCCCTGGTGCAGAAGAACCGGTAGGGTGAAAGGGACACACTTCTGAATGGGGATGTAAATTTCCTAACGATATTTTGTGCCAAATCAGAAAACTACCTGACATTTTGCCAGTTTAGGCACTAGATTTTTAGTCAGTTTAAAGAAGTGTTATGCTTACTATTCAAAGAGCACTTTACAACTGAAAGTGCTGCTGTTAATCTCATGTACATTGCTTGAAAATCTGCTTTAGAAATCTTTGTAATGAAATCAGGGCTCCTGATGAATAATTGAAATGAACTGGGATAGCCCATTAATGCCAGAGTTACAGTATAGGAAGTGTGAAATCCGTTTCCAGGGTCTGCTTGTGTATCTTTGAAAAAGCACAATCACTGTTTGGAAAGTCCCTATCTTCTGTAAAGTATAACAGAAGTTTTTTTTTAAATAAAAAATATATGTATTTTGAATTTTTAGAAATATTTGCAGTGGAAAGATTCTGGCAGTACCAGAGAAAGCTTAGGCTTTAAATGCAAAGGAGAGTTATATGTGACAAAAGTTACTCTGCATAGATACATAAATGCAGTCTAAAACATGGCCATGAGCTTGAAGTCCCTGTGATGACCTGAGTGTTCCTGAGTTGCACTGGGAAGAAGCCCCTATGAGGGGCTGTTGCTGGAGTAAGTTGTGCAGCTTGATAACAGAAGCCCTCCTACTGGGGCCAATTTAGGAGGGCTGAGATGGAGGCCAGATGGGTTGTGTTGTGGTGGCAGCCTCCTGCTTTCTGTTGCTGTCTCTGTTGTGGCTTCCCACTGTGCTGTCTTAACACCCAGTGTTCCTTATTGTTTGGGAATGGTCCCAGCAGAGCCTAGGGGCATCCCGTTAATTCTCTGAGACTGAGCTTGTGTGCGATACTACGTTTTGCAATAAGATCTTTGCAGCTTGTGTAGGAGACAATCTGTAGGGGCAAAACTGTGTTTATGGTTAGAGTTACACTTTCCATCCCAACAGTGAAGATGGGAGGAACTGAGGACTAGTTTGTTGTACCTTTCTTCTCTTTATGCTATCTCTACAAAGGAAGAAATTAGACTCTCTAAGCCTAGAGTGGTGATTTTAGAGCTGTATGAGTGGCGAAACGGGTATTGTGCGCACACGGAGAAGAAAAATCCAGTTAACATCTCACTGTCCTGAAATAGGGGAAAGCAATCTTGAAGTTCTATGTTTTTAATTCTTATACTGATGTGTCTGTTGTTGTAAATGTATCACAATTATGTTTATGATTAAACTAGACTCTCTCTCTAGATTCACACGTCGTTGATCAATGGCAGGCCAAGTGCTGACGATCCTTCACAAAAGCTTCTGGAGTTTACTTCTGCACGGTACATCCGCCTACGCCTGCAGCGTATTAGAACCCTTAACGCTGACCTTATGACTCTGAGCCATCATGATCCTAAAGAACTAGATCCCATTGTCACCAGAAGGGTAAGCTGATTGCTCAGAAATGTTCCTGTCACTGGATGGAGAAGCATATTTTGATCTATTTGAGGAAGTACTTGAGCCTTGCCATTCATAAACAGTTATTTTTAAAGGTTAACGTAACTCTGATTTTCCTTCTGATGTTATTAACAATGCACCTTACCACAGAAAACTTTGAAGAACTTAGAGAATTTTATTTTGTTTTGTTTTTTATATATTCAAATGACTTAAGTTAGAAACGGCTTCATCAGCAAAGGAAAAAAACATGTTTTTGCTAATAAAAACGTCACTTGAAGATCCTCTTGATGCAACTGTGCAGTACCTTTTCTGTTATTTTAAGATTTTCATTCCTAGCACTGTCATTCATAAAAAGAAATATTTGAAAACTGTGCCATTGTGAATTTGGATGTCTGATGAGTTTTCATTTTCTTATTTTAAGGCTGACTCAGTCAAGTTGTGTTTAAGCCCATAATGATGTAAAATGCTGAAACAGAATTTTTAGAGTATTAATTGTACACATCTGATATTGAAGCTGGATAAATCGAGTCACCGAGCATTTAGGCTGACTTCAAACACTCAGAGAAATTCAGTGTTCATGTCAGAGCCTCTAGCAACACTGCCTGCTAGGATAAATTTTGTGTTTGGGGCTTTTTATTTTGCCCTTTTGACCCTTTCCTTAATTTACCTGAGATCTATAGTTTAGGGTATCGGCAGTTACATCGGCAATAAAAGTGGCTTTTGCATCTTCAAATTTCTATAGAGTTTGGGCCTCTCGAAGAAGATGCAAGTGTATGAAAGTCGTTTTTCCGTCTCCTCCCTTGTGAGCTACTTGCGTTTAAGAGCATCCACAAGCAACTAGCTAAGCAAGCACCTGTGTCCTCCCCCTTGCACAACAGGGCTCTTGCATTTCTGTCTTCTCTTGTATCCAGAGTCCTTTTGCAGTTATGCTGCTTCTTGCCAAACTCTTCTGCATGGAGCAATTTGCCAGTGTGTTGAGCAGGAGAGCACTAATGTATGGTGCCATGAGGTATCGCTAGGCTGTTGGGCAGAGGAGGGTTCTCTCCTGGACCTGGTCTGGCCCAGTTTTGATAGGTGAGAGCATCACAAGCAGTTTCAAGGCAGCCACACTCTCACTTTGATCTCTGAGATGCTCCTTCAGCTGGAGCATCGCTGAAGTGCAAGACCTGGATGTTCTGCCTGTTACTTCTGCTCCGTAGGGGTATCTCTAGCCAGGGGACTGCAAGCACAGAAGACTGGACAGTTGTTCCAACTGTGCCATGCAAGCCTTAAAGAAACTGGTAATCCAAACAGTGAGCTTCTGAGATGATCCCCGTAGAGCAGACTGGTAAATGTCTATGGTTAATATTATACAAAGAAATACTCCCAAAAGGGCAGACTCACTGGGCAAGCATACAAATGACAGGTTATATAAGAAACAAAATGATGGAGAGGGCACCCATGGCTTCCCATTGCTTTCCTAAGCTACGCAGTTGTGTGGTCTAAGGCTTAGTGACACTTAACGCTACTTAGTGCAATTTTGCATGAGTTGCTACACATCTTCCATTTTCATGAAAAGTGGGTTTTATTGGTCAGGGTTCCCAAATTCTCATGTCTCATTTTGTTTTATCTATTGTGCAACTAACTACAACCAAGTCAATCTTTGCCAACTTTCTGGATTCTATAGTTAATGTTCTTAAAGACTTTTACTCCAGTTGTTGGTATTGATGGTATTGGTTTCTTTGAGTAATCTTCTGAAAGGATTGATGTAGAACTTTTCCAAGTGTTTGACAACAGAGCTATTTCATTTCTGTGGCATTTGATTGGCATTAGTCTCTTGTTTGGCTTCAAGCTGCACAAGGCTTCATTTGAAGAGCACACAGTGAATTGAAGAGGAAGGATAAAGGACATAAAGCAGGGAAGGCAGTGAGCTTTCCTAATACTAACGACTACAGCTGTACTTTTACTTTTCTCAGTCTGGACCTTCTTTATAGTTAAGGTCTTAATGTTAAGTCTTCGAGTATTTTTGCAGTCCAAACTCATAAAATTAAAAACAAACTATAAAAAAAAAAACAAAACCCACTAAAAAGTCTAAAAGTTAAATAGGAAATCAGAGATTCTAGTTTGCTGCAGCTCTACACTCCTTTAAAGCAGTAACAGCGCATGAGTCAGCAGGCATGACCACCCAGGGCTGCCTGCTCTTCCTGAATCAGACATCTAGGGTTGATAGGTCTGAGAGTCTTGAACTCTTTTCTTAGAAGTGTCCTCAAAAAGTATTTCTTTTTCATTCGCCCTGTAGCACATACTTCCCAGGATTCAACCAGGCCAACCCTGTTGATACTGCAGCTGTAACTAAACCCAGATGGGTCATTTCCTGCCTCTTCCTTGCCTTGAAAGTTAAATCCCTTCCTTATGTATGTTGCTTCTGCTCACCACCTGGCAATATTAACTTACTCTGCTTTGCTGTATTACCAGTTCTTAAGCTAAAAATGTGGATAGAATAGACTACAGTATGAGCAAAGGACTTGCCTGGAAGGATGTGGACAAACTGGTTTTAAGGGACAGCAGAGTTCCCATTTTAAGAAAGCGTACTCTTACACCCCAAACTAAAGCTCAAATATAATAATGTGTTATGCTTCTTGACTTCTCATAGAGTAACAAGGGATTTTTTTGCAAGCAAATTTTGACTTGGGTCATGCATGGTAGCCTTCCCTCAAGTTTAGGAGCGGTGCATACTTATGTAAAGTTAAAAATCAGTCTGTGTTTTGTACCAGTGTGGAGAAAAATGGAAAAGTCTACAAAAAGAGATTTCCTCAGGTTGCAGAAATTTAAAGCTTGAAATAGTTGCTTGAATTTTTAAGTCACAAAATAGTGAAGTGCTGATACTATGCGTGCATGTGGGAAATATATAAATACATTAAAATGTCTTTTCTTCATCCCTTCTTCCACCTTGTTTTTTTGCAGTACTACTATTCAATAAAGGACATCTCTGTTGGTGGCATGTGCATTTGTTACGGCCATGCTCGAAGCTGCCCACTGGATGAAATCACAAAGGTATTCTTTATTTTTTTTTCTTCTTTCTTTAAATTCTTTACTTCTTTTCTTAGAGCAACTTTTCCAATGTGTATATATATAAAGAAACAGCTATTTGCCTAAGGAGAATGAGAGAGTATGAAAGAGATCTTACTCCATGATGTAAAAAAAAAAAAAATTCCCTCCTTTTTCTATATAGGCATATCTCAGTCTCTTGTAGTGTTACTTTCTTACAAGTGGGGTATCTTTGCTGTTAAATTTTTAAAAACTGCGGGACACTACAAGAAACAATCTGGTTTACAACACAGGAGATTTGTCCATTCTGCTCTAGAAAGGTTACTTCCCTGTGTCAGCATAGCATGGTTGGCCAGTCTCATGCCAATTGTTGGGTATTTGTGAGGTGGCTTTTTTTTTGAAATAGATTTGATACTGAGGCAGACTTTTGGGAACATTATTTGAATGACCCACACAAAAATATTTCAATAAACAGTTTTTTTCCCCTTTTTTTTTTTCTTAGAAATTGCAATGTCAATGTGAACACAACACATGTGGTGAGAGTTGTAATAAGTGCTGTCCTGGGTACCATCAGAAACCATGGAGACCAGGAACCATTTCTGCTGGGAACAAATGTGAGAGTAAGTATGTACAGTGGCTTAGGTAGTTTCATAAAGGCTTGTTATATTATTGTTTAAGGTTGAGTTTAGTATAGTTCTGTACCTTTTCTCCAGAAGAATTAAATCATTTTCATGGGGTTAAGTGAAGGCAGGGGGGAAGACTCCTTATAATAATTTAAGTCTTTTTAAATATTCTATCCTTCATGGCTATGGTGGAGGTGTCATGTGGCAGTGCTTGAAGAGTGGAACAGACAAAAGAGTTTTGGGATATATTATACTCCAGTAAAAACTAGCATCAGTCATTTTGTTAGCTACCTGAAATTCAAATCTCTTATGTTGATCATAAATTTTCTGCCAGACAAACATTGTTCCGGCAGCACAAATGTTTTGAAAGAAACTTTCCTTTCTGGCCAATTACATTCAGGTTGTCTGAGAGATTGATTTCGGTGGTGCCAGTGGTTTGATTTAGCTCAGCATGTGGCTAGGGCTTTTTCGTGCATTTTCTCTCTTCTCATTGCTAATGCCTGGCATGAGCTGCAGACAACCAAGAGCCTATTAGATAAAATCTACAGATGCAAGTGGCAGAATGGTGTTCTTAGTACAGCTCTTAATGTCACTGTTTAGAAATTAGGTGTAGGATCTGAATCCAACTGTCCTCTAACCTATATCATTTTCATACTTATGTACTTGCACGGTGGCCTCCCTGGCTTTTGTCTATCATACACATAGCAGAAGAATTGGGTAGATTTTCTTCTGTAATACGAAGGACAGAAAACATAAGAATAACTACTGGTAATAACACACATTACTATTGACATCTGACACTGTCATCTCACTACTGACAGGATTGTCTTAGTTTGATCCACAGGGTAGTGTTAAGATAGACGCTACTAAAAGTGGTGACTGTGGCTTTGAAATATGCTTACTTGCTAGGGAATAGAGTGTATTGAGATTGCTGAAGCATATAGAATAGTTAAGCAGGAAAAAACACTCTTTTCAGATGGTTCAATATGCTTTTCTTAAGTTTACTGCTTGTAAAATTTCATTGTTATAGGAACTGTTATACAATGTAAATGGAAAAAAAATGTGGATTTCTTTACTGTTCCTTCTTAGAGTGCAACTGTCATAACAAAGCAGAAGATTGTTATTACAACCAGAGTATTGCGGATCAGAAAAGAAGCATAAATATTCATGGCCAGTATATAGGAGGTGGCGTCTGTTTAAACTGTACTCAACACACAACCGGTATCAACTGTGAAATGTGTGCTGATGGATATTTTAGACCACACAAAGTAAGATTTAGGAATTATCATTCTAATGCTTTGTTCATTCTAGTATATTACAACATGATATGATGAAATGTGCAGTTCATTGTACATTAATATACAAATGCATAATTTATATATATATATATATATACATATGCATGCATGTATATTACCAAGTACAGAGTTAACTGAAAACTGTAAAGGCTATTTTGTAGGTGACACACTACCAAAAATTTCAGAGAAAAATTTAAAATGTTTCTTGAATTGCATGGGAGGGCGGGTCTTATTGCTTTAAAAGAATGTGATGGAGAACAAAAGAAGAGTTGGATACAAAACTTGAAGTCCTTATATGAAAGAGTAGGTGTTCTGATAGGAAAGCCATTTCTCCTGTGGATAGAGTATTAAAAAGACCCAGTATTCCCCATCTAATGTCTTCAGAAGTACCAATATTACATGCCATCCTATAGAAGCTCATATCAGCCAGTATTAAAAAGGACCCTTGTAGGGTTCTAGAATAGATTATTTGATGAGATATTGCAGCAAATGCTGCTCCTTGTATTGCCATGATTTTTGCATAACTTGTTCTTTGTGAGCCTGTCTACTTTCCAGTTTATCAACAAGTCTCACTCTTTGGAAAGTTGACCTAAACTCTATAAAACATATTTGTTAAGATATGAATAGAAGAATTAAATATATGAACTTCCCACTGTGTGTAGAGCTTTCTATAATGAGACACACTGAGCCAGATTCCTACCCTGCAAGGTCTTGTTTCAGCAGAGCCATTTATACTTTTGAAAGCCCATGATTTAGAAATCCATCATAAATAGGTGCAGAGAGCAAGGGTGAATCTGTTTGAGTGTGGTTAGACAGTAAGTAAAAGCCCCATAGAAAAGTAAGCTTGAGCCCTAGATTCTCTGATTCACCTACTGCAAGAACATTTAAGGAAAGTTGTCAATCATCTTGTAACCAATAAGGAGGTATCTGGAGATGGTTACTGATTTGATTTAAATGTGAGGAACTCAAAGGAAAATTTTAGGCTTCCCTGAAAGAAAAGAAAATCATTGCCATGTGAATTGCCTTGCCTATAGTTCAAGATATATAGATTATGGAAGTTAGAGTGGTTGGGTAAACTGTCCTCCCACTGGAGAGAGAGCCAAGGTTTTCCTTCATTTCCTTCCTCTTTAAACTAGAGGGCATCTTTTCAAAAAATACCCATTCTTGACTTAAAGCTTTCCATATTCTTTGGCAAACCACCATAGTATTTAGTTGCTGTCACATTTAAAAATATATATTTATGTTGAACGTGTCAGTTTTCAACTTCCAGCCCATTAGTTGCTACTATGTCTATTCTGAAAACTTTTTTTTTTTTTGCTTTTGAACTGTGCCTCCTGATCTTCTCTTTGCTAAAATTACACAGGTTGAGTCCCTTGCTCTATTACTGCCTGCTAACTTTTTTAGTCTTCACTCCTATCAGTACCAGTGCTCCCAGACAAGAGCAGATGTGAGTAGCCTTTGCCCAGCTAGAGAGAATTTGACAGCGAGTGCTTGCTTTACAGATTTCTCCCTATGAGGATCACCCGTGCTACCCCTGCGGCTGTGACCCCGTGGGGTCTCTGAGTCCCCACTGTGTGAAGGACGAGCACCATTCTGACGCACAGCGTGGTAAGGGAGCATTTTCTCTTAAGCTAGTGGCCAGTAGCCACTTTTCTCTGGCTAATGTCTCTGGGCATCGAGACCTGGGGGAGCGACGTCTTGTTTGAGTGTCTACTGCATGGGTACTGCTTCCAGATACCTGTAAATGCTTGGGAAGGAAGAGGTGAGGCATGACATACTTACAGGCGTTTTAAGATATATCAGCACCCTTCATTAACTTGTCTAGGGATGGAGGGCCTTGTCTGTGTAAAACCGTTTGAAGGGTTGTGATCCTTTGGCCAAGTTCCTAGACTGCCCAGGGAAGTGGTGGAGTCACTGTCCCTGGCAGTGTTCAAGAAACGTGTAGATGAGGCACTTGGGGTGCGTTAGATAAGGCCTGGTGTTGAAGGGCTTATGGTTGGACTCGATCTTGAAGGTGTTTTCCAGTCATCATGATTCTGTGATCTGGTCTTTATGAATGATAGAGCAACTGTCAAATAGTCCACTCTGCTGGAGTTTCTGTGCATCTGGTACTCTAAACGTGAAAAATAGATGGCGGGGCTGGTAATATGCCAAATATGTGCATGGAATGTGACATGGAATGTCATAGAAAAGGAGCATTAAATGACTTGTAAACGCTGAGACATCTTGAATCCAGCTTCCTGCCAGCACTTATTTACTTGTTTGTTTATCTGCTTGTGGTTTTCAAGGGACTTGGCCAGGTCAGTGTGAATGCAGAGAAGGTTACACAGGAGAAAAATGCGATCGTTGTGCATTTGGGTATCGGGGCTACCCTGACTGCCTGCGATGTAACTGCAGCCTGGTTGGTAGCATTAATGAAGATCCGTGCACAGAACCTTGTCTTTGCAAAGTAAGTGCCTCCTGTTTTCATTTAAAAGGACATATGTGGTTGGGTTTATAATGCATTGTTAATAAGGTAAATATTAGCAGGACATATCATTTCTTCTATAAGAAGTAACTCGGTATACGTATAAACACAACAAAAAGGAATTTAAAATGACTAATCTCTGTATTGAAAATAAGATAATTATCTATGTTGAATAGTTCTATTATGTTGCAAAAACAGCACTTATAAAAATACAATAAATAAAATCACATAATACAATACCATATAATATTATAAACATATAATAATTGCCACAATATGGCAATAAAATTACATAATATCTGCACATGTCCCTAAGTGTGAGAGAGGGTCTTGGAGGGAATGACAGTATGCCTTATGCCTTCCAGGGTTTGATTTTAAGGATGGGCTGATCTTTTTATTTAAAGCCACTGATCTCATGTAAAGAAAGGATATTTATAGCATCTGCTTTCTATGAGGTAATGGTATGCATTTGGAAAGAACTGTTGGAATAGTTAAGTTAGACCTTTGTATAAAACCTGATTTAATTATTTGTTTACAAAACATGAACTGTCAAAAATGCAAACAAATAAAAGAGCAGATTTGCAGCCATTTTTTTTTTTAAATATACAATCCCTTTGAAATATCTTGCAGCTATAGATTTTGCTGAACTCTATTAGGAAGTTGTGTGTCAATATTTAAAGCAGTTGCATTTAATTTTCTGAACCAAATGTTAGATAGTAGTTTTTTTTTTTTTGATTTGTTGACACGTATGATGGTGAACAGCAGCCAAAAATTATTTGACAGTTTTTCTAAAACTGCTTAGTCCTTTTGCATAATTTGTCTGATCCAAAATATCAAATACATAAATAACTAGAGTCATACTTCTGGAAGGAAGAAATAGTGCCAGTGTCCAAGTTAAATAAGAAAAGAGAAATATAGCTGCTTTGCCTATTTTTGTGCTAGAGTAACGTATTTTTAGCCTATACAGCTAAACTGGTGAAAATTTTGGGATAAACTAGGCGAGAAACTGTCCCCTCTTAGTGCTGTCATGATTGTGAGCCTGGCATACAGAATTTTTAGATGAGAACATGGAGAGTGTCACTAGCCAGCAGCCCACGTTTATGGAAGAAGGAAGTTGTGTGCCTCAAGTCAAATGAAGGAGGCAGGATTTCTAAGCTAGTGCAGCCTGCATGAACATAATAATGCAAAACCACTTCCTTTTGTAGTTGAAATTTCATACTAGCTTTTTCTGTAAACCCCTTCTCATTATTAGCTATTAGGTATTTCAGTTTTCATTATGAAATAAATAATAATTTCTACTCAGCCGTGCTAGCTCTGACAAGTGACATACATTTTGACAGCCACAGTGAAATGTGTGATCCACATACATCTTAAAGGCTGAGAAATAAAAAATAATTTAAAAAAAAATCTGAAAAGAACATGCTGTAAAACTCCCAAGATTTTAAAATCTCATTATGTCAGGTGGGCCCTTACCTGGGATTGAAAGAAGACATCCTGAGCCTTTGAATCAAACATGTGGGGATCATCTATGTTTTTCTTGTGGTTTGCAAAACCATTTTTTATTTTGCTTACACAAGTGAAAATAGATTACCTACCTGGTAGAGAGGTGTTCTGTAAAGTTCACACACCAAATGCTGGTGCACAAGGGGAGACGGTTGGTAGTTTTACCCTCAGAGGGTTCAGATTTCTCTCTAGGGATCTGGAAATCTGCTATATAGATCCAAATTAAATTCAAGGTTGTAATGAGGAGCAATTCTGCTGGCCAGAGTGGAAGGGAATTACACCCTGGTGTTAGCTGAATGCAGAATTTCATCTCCAGGCTTTGCATTTAAGTTAAACTATGGTTCTCGTGTTTTACTCCCCAGAATGCCCAGACAGGTTTGCTTCATGGTGAACCCCACCACTAGTCCCCTGACAGACTGGAGCAGGGAGCTTTGTAGGCTGAACAGTAGCCACCTCTTTGATGTTGTGGTAGGGTTTCCTCAGAGTGGAAACTGGAGGGTGAGATGGGTATCTAGGTCTTGCCTTTATATGAAATGGGAACATGGCCAGAATCTTGTCCCTGGTGTGGGACAAGAATCTGAATCGCATAGAGATATCCACTGTAATCTACTACTTTCACAGCTTCGTGGGCATTTTCAGAATATTTTCTTTACTTGTTTGCTTCTCAGCAGCTTTTGTCTAAATGTTTCTAAATGTATACACAATGTCAGTAGAAAGTTTGCAGGATTTTAGTTACAGGAAGTTGGGTGCACTGGTTTGGGATTTTTTTTTCAATTTTCCACATTTTTTTCTTTTTTCGTAGCTAGCCTAGCTGTCAAGGTAAGTTATCTGGATTCTGTAGACGTGGGAACTTTTCTGAAAAGCAACCTAGAAAGTCAAGCTACTAGAGAATCAGACTGGCAAAGTAGCAGAAGTTTTGGAAAACCTGCCTGTGTTACAGAATTTCATTGCATCTGAGCCCTTACATAGCATGTTTAGATTATGATGAACAAGCAAATTCTGATGTTTTTTTTTCAATCAGTTTTAATTTTAAGCTCACAGTCTTACTCAATAAGCCTGCTGTGCTGAGATCTGTTTTCTTTTTTATCCTTCTGAGCGCTGTTAGGCCTAAATCCCATTTAATCCACTGTGTTTGTTACCATGATAATGCTGATGCGAAACAAATGATATGTGCCAATTTGCAGGAAAATGTAGAAGGTGAAAACTGTGACCACTGCAAACCGGGATTCTACAATTTGCAAGAAAGAAATCCTCAGGGCTGCACAGAGTGTTTCTGCTTTGGGGTTTCCGATGTCTGCGACAGCCTTACGTGGCCCATCAGTCAGGTATTGATTTATATGTTATGTCCATTATCT